GTTGCACAGGTTCCTAAAGGGTTGTTAGTAGGTGCTTGTTTATAACACAATTAACAAGAAACTCTGAATTTCTTTTCTAGCCAACGTAGACCTTGTCTCCATTTCCTTTCTTCTCTAGTTGACTTGGATCTTTCCACTTTATGATGAAAGGAGCAAAGAATGTTTCATCATTAGCTTTGGGTGATAGACTCGTAAATTTTCTTCTCTTTACCTAACTAATCATCATCATTACTAATTATGCTCCAGAAAATAAACTGGAATGCAGAACAGGCTGGCTTACTATAGAACAATCAGTGTATAAATCAGAAAGGCTGCTGTCAAAATGGTTCTAAGTGGGTGAATATTGAATAGGTACTCTTCCTATTCTGCTTTTTGTTTATTGTAAGGCCTAGAACTTACTTGAATAGAGTTGGGAATTGAGTATTATAATCTAATTTTAAGGAAGCTTAACACAAAGTAAGTGAACATAACTCTGAGCATTCCTGAATAAAATTGCATGTTAGTTTTGTTGAGAAATGATGGTGTGGCAGGTCTTGGAGCAGAGTCAAGAACACTTGCATTCCCCTCCTCTGCGGTTCAAGATGGCAGCTCCTTGATAATCAGGAAGTGCCTCTGGGTAAATCACATACTGCACTGTGCCAAGGAGAAAGGTGAATTTATTTGACCTTCATTCACAACTCTATCATGTCTGCCTGCCCGATGAGGAAGCAGGCTCAGAGGAGACATTAAGTAACTTGCTTTAGTATTACAGATGGTTAGTGACAGAGCTAGAGTTTGATCCCCAAATTTTTGGAGGCCAAAGCCTCTGTTTTTCTCATTCTGAAAAAGTGCTTTTTATACTATGGTATTATTTAGAAAATAAGTTAAACACTATGGAAAGAAGGAAGGTTAATAAATTAGTGCTCACTCTTTGGACAGTGACATCATGAAATACTTTTGTCCCCAGCAGCAATGAGTAGTGTTTGTCCTGAGTGCTATCATTAAGGAAAATTCTCTCCAAATTCATGAAATTATAGGAATCTCAAATTTTTCTAACCTTATTTCTGCCTCCATGGCTCAAAGTAAATAATCCTGCCTACATGCACATTTATGTCTAACTTAAGATGTTATGGCTAGATCTCTGTCAGTGGGCCTTTAACATTAAGGGTAGACAAAAGCAAGATTCACCAACAAACCTTGTATTTTACTTTGCTTTTAAGAAAAAGTAAATTCATTATTATGAGTATAAAGTTTGAAGAATTGTTACCAAACCCAGGCCAGCTACTTGCCACCTGAAAGCCGGTACTTGAGAGACGTGTGTTGGTGGGCAGAGTTGGTGGTGGTGGGAAGTTTTGTTCAAGGGCTGGTATCCTGAGAAGATGGAAGGGCTGTCTTCCCCCAAGCTCCATCTTCAGGAACTTAGGTACGTGACAGGCCTTTTATAGGGAGGGAAAGGAAGTGTAGTAAGACAGTGGGAAAGAAGGAGTCTTTGTCATCCAGGGTGTATGCGTCTTCTTTTATGTAATTCTTCTCTGACCAGAACATTTCAGTGAGCTCAGCCTTCTGTGGCTAGTCATGGTGGTTCTTTAGGTATAGTACTTCCATAGCAATTTATGTGCTAGGTGTTAGTTGATGCACAGAACTAAAGAACAAGGTGGGGCATTACATATTCTAATGAAACTTAGATTTTGTAAATATACAGAAAAATTATTTAACAATTAACATCTTAGTCATTTAGGTGTGGCTGCTGTTTAGAATTTTGATTGCTAGGCAGAAGGAGAGGAAGTAACCTTGCAAAGGATAACTGCAAAGGAGTGGCCACTATTACAGAGTTCTACACTACACACTGATGATTTTGCTTCCATTCCATGTTGCACCTGTGGCTAGGGGTTACTATGCTGAATGTCATAAGACCAGACCATGTGGCTTGGAGCTCCTTAACTTGCCTCCCTTTGCCTGTGTTTGCCTAGTTCTCTTTATTGGGGAGAAAAAAAGGTGTTCCTATATTCTTTTCTTGTAAGCTGCCATTTTGTCCCCTTTATTTCACAGTACATCACTGGATAGGGGAAGTGTCTGATACATTTTTGTATCCCTTGAGACTCCATCATACCCCTGATATCCTGCTTCAACTGCTCTAAAACACCAATAATCTCATACTGATCAGTCCCTAAGCTCCTCTCTCAGTGTCCAGTTTCCACCCCTGTGCTGCTCAGAATTCTTGCAGGGGATGTATTGATGGGTCTCTTACTTCTGACCAAGAGGGCCCTTCTCCTGTCTGTTTCCCTGGTTTCTGGGTGCTAATTTGTTCCTTGTGGATGCCACCTGATCTCTTGTGTCCTTGTTGACTCTTCTTGACATTACCCCCACATTTTCAGCTTCTTTTTTGACTCCTTAATGTCTTCCTGTATAACTTAAATGTCTCCCCAGCACCTCCGATAGAATATATCCTAAGCAGGACAAATTACTTCTCATGAGTTCAGTTTTTCTCAGTGACACCATACTCCTGCCAAGTCTTCACTTTGACTTCTTCCCCCTTGTGACATCATGGTGCTACACTACCTGACCCTACTGCACCAAGACCTCTTACCACTTTCCATCTCTTCATCCTATTTACCTCTTGGTTAATGTTATAATGTATAATGATATATATGTAATATATATCAGTTTATCTTGGTCTGTCTATCTGACCCCTTGTGTCTTCATCCTATTCACCTATTGTCTAATTGTCTTTTATAATATTATAATGTTTATTTACTTCTAGTCTAATGAGTCTTTTGGATCTTCCCTGAATAGATGATTCTATTATTCTTTGGCCTTTTGGTATTTTGTGATTGCCCACTATAAAGCTCCAATCCTTGGCCTGGCACTTGAGGCTGTCCATGATTTCCAGTCTGTTGATTGTACCTGATTAAGCCTATTTGTCTTTTCCCTGTGAGTTCTGCCATTCTGACTGAGTCTAGGAAAAAGTGCTTATAGTGACCTATAGAATCTGTTAGGCTGAGAATTGCATTCTTTAAAGTCATCCTTATCAAAGGCAGAGACATCAGAACTAAAGCTATTAAATGCTTAGAGAAGACATTTGTAAGTTACGCTAGTATTCAAAAGAATCCTCCAGCCAGTGTCACCACTAGCATATAGAAATAATTCTATAATTGCTGATATCCTTTCCTCTATTCATGCTGATTTCCTAATATGAAAACAGCTTGTCCTCTAATTTTACACATCTGATTCCTATCTATAATCCATATTTTCACTAAGACATCCCTGATTCCTGTAGCTCTTTATAACACTTGTAGTCACATAAAAACTGTTTTAAGTACTTGGAGCTCCCACCTCTAATCTGGTACAGAGTATGGGCAGAGACAAAGTTTTAAGTAACAAGGGGCAAATATAAATACCAAATGCTTTACACAAGGTGCCTTGTGCATGATCCTCAAACATTTCTTGAATTCGTGGAAAGATATGTAGGTGACTATATGGACTTTCTGCGTGTTTTCTATATTTTACTTTTAATAGTTTAGGGGCTTATAATACAGCTGAAATATTTAAAAACATATTGCTCTTTTGTCACTTTTTATCAGTGATTTTTAGCTTATAAATTGGGTTTTTTTTTTCCCACATTTAAAAAATTTGATTTTCACTAATTGTGCATCATGGCAGCGCTTTGTTAAATTCATAAAGGAAGTTAGAAATATTAAGACTTCTGCCCCTGGGTGTAGGCAGGATTTTAGATTATCAATGATTGTGTCTCAATGGTGATAGTACAGTTGTTTGCAGAATCATTAAGCCTCCATCTAGAGACATATAATTTAGGTGGCTTCAATAGGATCAGAGTTGGACAGCCTTTGTTTTGCCTTTGTTGGAGACCCGGAGTAGGGAAAATCTCATTTAAGTTCTCTTCTTTTTTCCTTGAAACCAGGAAGCCTAACGTGTTCATGTATTCATTTCTTTTCTTTACAGTGAGGGGAGTCTGCCAGTCTTTTCTGCTTTCTTTATATAGCATTTCATTATAATCAAGGAATTAATAGTATTGGTTTTAGAGGTTGAGGGTGCAGTTCAGTGGTTGAGCACTTGCCTAGAACATGTGAGGTTGGATCCCCAGCACCACCACAACCACCACCAACAACAGAGTATCTGCTTTCAGCTGTGTTTCTTGGTGTAAATCTAAAGAGAATGAAATTAAATGAACTGACTGGTAAATATCAGTGGTACCTTTGTGATGCCCCCTCTCCTTTGGTTCATTGCTGTGCTTTTTCTCTTGTTTTGAGTTTTTTGGTTTGTTCTGTTTTTTTTCCCTTTTAAAGCCAATTGATAAGAATTGCTAGGTTTAGTGATACAGTGAAAAAGATAAAAGATGACTTTTTATGCTTCTGCCTGTGGTATCACTTTAATCGTCTGTGAGAAATGAACAATCCTAATTCCTATACGGTGAGCAAGCCAGTTAAACAGGAAACACCTAGGTTTGTGAAGTTGTCTGGATTTGGCAAATACAAATAGTGTAGAAGAGTAAGTAACACCAGGAAGAAGTCAGATGATCCACGGAAAGAAATTTACTTCTAGGGAATGCTACAAACTTAATGGAAGTGAGTGAGAATGTTTCTCCAGTGTATTTTAAGATGCCCATGGTCCTCTGAAATGTGCAGAATGAAACAAGACTCTCTCTTTATGAAATAAGGGGCCACTATCTGCAGCTGTTGGTGGTATTCATTTCTTTAGAAATAAATGTTTTGTTTTGTTTTGTACTGGGGATCCAACTCAGGATCTTGCACTTGTATGGCAGGTGACAGAACCACTGAGCTAAATCCCCAGCCCCTAGAAATAAGTGTTTACTTTGACATATGGTCTAAGAATGTTCCTTCATCTTCCACTGGGCATTACAAGAATCTTTGAGTCTCACCAGTGGTAAACTTCTATGCTTATGAGGCAGGCTGGAATTTTAACTATGATATAAATCCTTTAAGTATATTGCCATTGCAACTTCTCTGAATGAATTACTGTTTTGTATTATTTATCTCCCTCAGATATGAACACACGTGCTAACGCTCAATACCTGTGAGCTCCATGATCCCCTCCTGACATCAGAAAGACACGAAGTGGTGGCCTCTGAGAACCAGCTCCTTTTTTGTGGTCTTGGCCCTGCCCTTCCTGCTCAAGGTCCACAATGGAGACACTCTCCCAGGACTCTTTGTTGGAATGTCAGATCTGTTTCAATTATTATAGCCCTCGGCGAAGGCCCAAGCTGCTGGATTGCAAACACACCTGCTGCTCAGTGTGCCTCCAGCAGATGAGGACGAGCCAGAAGGACGTGAGGTGCCCCTGGTGTCGAGGCATCACCAAGCTGCCTCCAGGCTTCTCTGTGTCGCAGCTCCCAGATGACCCCGAGGTCCTGGCCGTGATTGCCATTCCGCACACTTCTGAGCACACCCCTGTTTTCATCAAACTTCCCAGCAATGGGTGCTACATGCTGCCTCTGCCCATCTCTAAGGAGCGCACATTGTTGCCTGGAGACTTGGGCTGCCGCCTGCTGCCTGGGAGCCAGCAGAAGTCTGTCACGGTGGTGACCATCCCTGCTGAACAGCAGCCCCTGCAAGGTGGGGCTCCCCAGGAGGTGGTGGAGGAGGAGCCAGATAGGCGGGGCGTGGTGAAAAGTTCCACCTGGTCTGGTGTGTGCACTGTCATCCTGGTGGCCTGCGTCTTGGTCTTCCTCCTGGGCATCGTGCTCCACAACATGTCTTGCATTTCTAAGCGCTTCACTGTGATATCCTGTGGCTGATGTGGGGTACAAGGGAGTTTCTTTTGGGTGCCAACTTAGGGGTTGAGCAGGTGTTGGTGACAAGATTCCAGTGAGAAGATGGGGGGGTGACACTGACCATTTGGTGCCAAGTGCTGGCCTCTGGGTTGCCACTTGATTCACCCAAAGACTGACACCAAGGGCAGACGATGTCTCAACAAGATTCCGGGAGAATTGTGAGAATTGATGGCAACAGTTTTGAAGATGATTGCATGCATCCTCATAATCATATATAAAATGGGCTGTAATTTATGATTTTTCAAGATCGTGTTATGAGATAGACATATTCTACTTACAACTGTACATGTGCATACAATGTGATCTCTTAAAGCGGTAGATTAAAACCAAGATGCTGTACATACAAGTAGATTTAAACCTCGAATCCATGAAAATTCAGTGAAGACATACACAGTACTGGCTTCTTTGCTTTTTGTTGTTTTAATGAAACTGAGTCTTCATTTAGTTGCTAAGGCTTTATATACATTTTGAATGGCACCCAAATCAAAGTAAGTGAAACAGACTGTTGTTTTTTCAGAGAAAATATTTGAACAAAGTGTCTCCAGTGTGTTGTGTTTTGTCATGTACCTTCCTTTTTCTTCACTTGTGATTAGAGCTCGCTACATGTTTATTAAATGGAAAGCCCAACAGGGGAGCAATAAACCGAGAAATAATGAGAATTGCCTGATCCCACAGGAAACTGTATGCCAGTTTTTCTCAAGCCATCTCACAAAATAAGAATTTAAAATGTAAATATTGTGTATTTGTGTATGTGTGTGTAAGTGTGTGTGATTTGATTTACCTCAGGTTTTCCAGGCTGTTTAGGAGAATCCCTGGACTAGGACTTTGTGGGTGTGAAGGTGTCACAGTGGTCACATTGTGGGCACCTGTCCTCCCAGTGAGGCGTTTCTTCCATTCACCTCCAGCACTCACTCCTCTGCTTTATGTTAGGTCCTGTATTTTGTTAAGGCACCAATGGAGAGTGAGAGAAGAGCTTGTCTTTTCTTCCAGTCTGGAGTACTGTCAGTGCCATTAAGTGTTGTTAACGAGTGGCAAACCTGGATGGGCATTTTAATAGACAGTCTGTGGTTGTTTTTCAAAGATGTTGTTCTAAGAGAGTTAAATGTTTTTGAATTCCTGTTTCCTCCTGTTGGTACAAGCAAGATCTTTTGTATTTCAAAGTGTTTTTATTGAGAAAAGTGACAAGATACATTAACAACTCACATTCTGATGTAAGTGGACCAGTTCCTCATGAATGTTCAATCATTCTTAAGTGTGTGATAGTATATAGGTGCTCATGGTGAAAGACCTTCTAGCAGTACGTGGTAAATACCTATCCCTGTGTGTATCTGCATTCAGAAATAGCTATGAGTTGCATAGTTTAATTCCTTTTGTGGAATTCAGGAAGCAAGTTCTATGTGTCAAGGACTCCCCACTCAAATAAATATAGGTTAGGTTTCATTGAATCCTGAAAATGGTGGCAAAGGTGGTGGTGGTTGGGGGTAATATGAGAAAGATAAATAGTGACTAGTCCCAAAAAGCAAGATTAGGAAATAGCCCCATAAGATTGAGACAACCTAATTTATTTATATACTATTGTCTTTTAGCACAAAATATGCATACTAACATGATGGAATTAATGTGAAATAAAAAAAAATACCTAGAATACAAAGCTAACACTTAATTGGTCTGATAACTCAATTTAAATTATGAACTCCTGAGTTCGATCCCTGGTATCAAAAAAATAAATTATGAAATCTTTTTTCAAATCTTTCAAATTTGTCCTAAGACCTTTAGAACATGTATTTGAAAGCTCAAACTAGAAATTAGGTTAAAATGCAATTTTATTGTGTAAGCTATTGGGCATTATACAACAAATAATCTAGAATTTATTTGGGTATTAATAATTTAGGTATATTAGCTGAGTACTATCCTTTATTACATAATATAATGTTGGGTTAGTGTCAGTTTCTTAACTCCCAGGCTGCTGCAATGCATGTCTGACCTAATTTCTATGTCACTTGGAGGAGAAAAAAAATCAGAGAAATGTATTAAGAATAGTGCATTTCAGACAGACTTTACCTTTTAATTTTAATCCATGCCATATTCAATTTAATTTTATGACTGATATCTGCATACATTTATGTACAATATGAAGTGACTGACCCTGTAGTATAGTATGTGATAGAGTTCTACTTGTTTAGTAGGTTATATATAGACACTAATGTGTGTACTGATACAGTGTCTTGTGTTTCTTAGTGCAAAGCTGTAAAGTAAAAATGTCCACTGAATTTTTACTTAAAAACAGTCCCGTGCTAGAGCTGCCATTAAGCAGTGCAAAATTAATTGGCTCTCTGGTAGATTCCTGACCTTACAACTTACCTAATAATAGTAGCCCAAATCAGACTTTTCTGTGCAAGTCTTATTAAGGTAAGGAACATTATTAAAGTTGTTTAAGTGAATTGTGCTTGTAGTTTGCTTGTCAGGATGTACATTCTTGTGTGGGGGTGAGTAGTGGAGGGAGAGAAGGAAGGAGCTGTTTCAGCCTGCTGGATGGAATTTTTTACATGCTTAATGATGTGTCGATGTTATTTGGCATCCCATTGCTTTGGCCTCTTCTGGCATGTTTCCACAACACTAACAACCTATCTATCCCATGTGACAAAAGGCCAGTGACACAAATGGCCAGAATGCATAGTTGCATATGAGTGAAAAGTCACAACTGAAAAAAAGCACAAGATGTTAGAGCTGTGGGCAGCCTTTGCTGGCTTCATTTTTATAGATGAGTCCACAGAGGCCAGAAAGGAGCCTGGAAGATTGTACTTCTGTTGCAAAGAGGGGATAAGAACTGTGCATTGCTGTGCCCTCTTGTCCCTTCCTAGATCCATTGGCATCTCTGTCTGGCTAGAATTCTTTTCAGGGTTGATGACTACCCTTTATCATGTCAACTATTGCTTGAAGGGTTGTTTTGTAGGTCTGTTTCTTTATTTCAGTTGGCTATCTCTCTGAGTAATGAATAGAGATTGATTTAAAGATCATTACAGACATCTAAAAAACCTATCAAACCACGTAATGTGAATTTTTAAAACTGAAAAACATCGGCTCATCCTCTCCCCCATAAGTTAAAGACAATAAGTGTTATGTAAATAGTAAACTATATGAAGCATGAATTTTCATCCCTATTAATGATCCTGACACAAGCAAGAGAATGCTTAATATGTTGAGTAGAGCCACATGTGTCCCCCAAAAGTATTGTCTTTGCAAAGATTCTGTATATTGACCTGGGGCCATAAGTTGTGATGAAATTTGAATTGGTTCTGAGTTCCCAGTCATACTTCATGATCAGAAAGCTCTAATGTTTTTTCTTTAAAATAAATTTGTTTATTCTTGTGCATGATTTACAGAATGGGTCCCTTAGAGGTTCAACTGTGCAGCCCTTGGGATATTTTAGATCAGTGCTGTTCAATAGAACTTTTTAGAATGATGAAAATATTCTATAACCTGTACTGTCCAATATCATAGTCATAAGCCACATTGGCTCTTACAGAATTAAAGTGGAGACAATATGGCTGATGAGTTGGTGTCTAAGTTTTATTTAATTTATTTAAAAATAGTCCCATGTGGCTAATGGCTACCATATTGACTACTGGCCAGGGTGTTTGTAATATAACAGTGAGGCTAAGGAGAGAGTTCATTGGCTAGTTGCAGTTGGCAAAAAGAAAAATTTCTTTCTGGGCTTGAAAAGTATGTGATCAAGTACTACAGTAAACATTCATAGGTTGCCCTTTGGGGTTATTGATACTTTGGACCAAGGAATAATTGGTGAAACTTAAAGACTGCTTTATTAAGCTCCTTTTCTGGGACCATTAGCTGCATGTGAATCTATTGTTCAAAAATAGTAGTTAAACGGTAGCCATAAAATGTTTGACTTGCAAGCTGTGCATGATCTGAACTGTGAAATTGTGTTTAGGGTCTTCTGGCCAAAAAGTACTTGTTACTGGAAAAAAAAAAGTCCAATGAAAACCCTCTTCTCTTCCAGTATTTTACCTAAACTTCATCGCTGCAATAGTAAGGTGCAAAATCTAAGAGCAAGCATGTTTTGCAGTGTTCAGAGTGTTTTTGTCTGCCCTTGAAGTCTGCTAGCTTGTCATTGTATTTGGTGTGGACATATTGGGCATCATTTTTCAGATGCCAAACTAAAATGTAGGTACTATTTTTAGAGTGGGATTTGACATTGTTTTAGTATCGCTCTTGTTAATTTTAGTTATCACTAAAATATTTGAAGCACAAAGCACTTTAAAACATTTTTTTACAGTTAAAAAACATTGCCCAATGGAATTTAAAGAATGGAACTGGTTTTTAAGTGAGTAAAGGGAAGAAGAAAATTCAGCTTGAGATATGTTTTCATATCAGATTCTTACTGTTGTCTGGTATTTATTCCAGTCTCGATTTTGATTTAGATTTCTCATTTCTTAATTTAAAAATCTAGACTGTGTCCATATTGGTTTTAGTTATTTCCTAAATGTAATATAAACCAAATACATTTGCTATATCATAACAGAATTGGGATTTTTCTCTAGAATTTGTCAGTGGGCATCACCGTTCTTTTCATCTATCTTTAAGATTTTATTTAATTTTTTTCCCAAAATGGTGGCTTTTCTTCAAATGTATTAGAAATCCAAAGGTTTTTAGTTTGAGAGGGATGATAGGCAAACCACTGCAATTTCTACCTTCCCATATAAAAATGATGCTGCCTACCAGGCAGTTTTTTTGCTTCCACACCAAAAAATTGATCGGCCAATTTGTCATCCTTGACCTAAATGGAGAAGCTGTTCCTTGACATTTCCATCATTCTCAGTAAGGCATCACCACAAGGTACCCTTACCCATACAGAAACTCTAGAGAAGGATGAGGTCACCAAAATAATTCAGTGACTGTTTTGAAAGTAATGATGCTCGGTTGCTGGATTTTGTTCAACATGAAATACTTCTCAAAAATAAGTGGAGATTCATTTGATTTTTCTGACACAATTGACTTACTACACGCACACAAACGCATCACACATACGATTTTGTTATAATTGGAGTTTAAAGTAAAAAATTTTAGTCATGTTTCCCAATTTGTAGATTATGTAATGTTGAAGTTAGAGTTAATTTCTTAACAATTGTTATGAGTTGCTTACATTTATGTCCAAGCAACTACCTTTGGGAATGTCTTTTTAATTAAACTCTTCAGACTTCTCAAATATAGGAAGAGGTGGGTTCTACTACATAAAGTGTGTGGAAAAGGCCTTGATTACTGAGAAGCATAAGCAAGTGGGACATTTAATTTCTGTCTTCCAAATAGCTTATTTTTTTTTTGCTTTACTCAAGGAATTGGGGGAGTGTACCAGTATTCTTGAATTTCCACAATGTGGCTCTTACTTTTTCTACACAAGTTTCTTTGCTCAGTCTGGCTAATGATCTTTTGATTTTTCTGGATTCACTGCCTAGGGTATTCCACTTGTAAATCTCACTTACAATGTAGTGGTGCTTGAAAACACTCATCTTGTTAGCTAATTATTCTAATTAATGCTTTGGTAGTACTCATATCATAATATGTTTAAGGGACAATCAATAATTAGAGCATAGTATTTTGAAGGTCTCCTGTGATGTGCAACAGGGTGTATTTTCTTTGTTTTTGGAAATGTTACCTTCTAACTGTCTCTGTTCTTCCAGAACACTGTTCTAAATTCACCATCAAAAGATTTAGGGCTAGTAGCTCATGGGAAAGTCTTCTATAATCTTCTTGAGTTGAGAGTTACTGGGTTATTCTAACAAGAATTTTCCAAAGGTCTAGTCAGTTTTTATGTTGACATTTGCTTTGAGAATTTGAAACTAGGTGGTTGGATATGATGGTGGTAAGGGTTCATGAGAGGAGGAAAAAGTTGTCGTGTCTCTAAATAGTGAAAGCACACAGTAGCTGTTACACTGTGCTTCTGGCTGGATTGACTGGGAGACAATCCAACTACTAAGTAGACCCTCTTTGGGCGAGGTAATAACAGAGCCAGTGGTCAAATATCGATTAGGCAGATATGCCCAGATGGGGAGAAGATACTTAATGAAGGAAAAGCTGTAATGGGAGTATAGCTGCAAAACAAGCCATATGCCTTGAGGTGAGTTGTGGCCGAAGCCAGCTGAAGAAAGTAGCACAGGGTGTCTGGGATAACTTAATCAAGCACAACTTGCCTTTCTGGCATGGAAAACCAAATTCAGTTCAGGATTCTTAAGCTGAAAACATACAGGAAATATGCTCAACCAATGAGTGGGTTTCAGGAGGCCCCATTTTCCTTGTTCAGCTATACTCTTCAGTTGGGTTGTCAGCACTCTAGACAATACCAGAGCTTGTTCTAGCTGGAATTAATGATGGATTCAGTACAAGCTCTGTCATCTATACTGTGGAATGCAATGCCCAATTCTGTGGCTCTATCTTGAGTAACTTACTACTGTTGGTAAAATTAGTTGAATATTTTGGTTTATATACTGGTTGCGGTCATTTATTACATTTATTTATTCCACTATTTATTTGTGTTTGTCTCACTGTACAGTCACAGGTGTGGAGGCTGGTTTCAGCTTGGGGTGGTCACAAACTCAACATAAGCCATCTCGCTGCAGTCCAGGGTTCTTTACATTCTTAATAGCTCCACTGGTGGATTCCCTAACCCCTGGATAACAAATATTTCAGACAAATGGCCAGATTAATGCTGCTCAGAGGCTATTCACTAGAGTCCTTGACATGTTTCATTTACAGTTATGTGGATTTTTTATTTTAGGAGCTTTTCTTTTAAAAGGCCAAATTGCCCTACAGATAAATGAGCTGCTTGGCTGTGTAGAAAATATTGTCCAAATGTTGCCAAATATTGACTTCGTAAAGGGGATATCAAGCTGCTGTTTATAAATCTGAATGTCTTAAAAGCGTACTAGCTTGCTCTTTCTGTTGTAGATGGTATCGTAGCCAGTCCTGAGTTTTTCCAATGAACTCAATTTTAATATATGGTATTTTTGTATGCCAAACTGGTGTCTTGTCCTTTGTATATGTGGTAATGTTGATTTTGACTACTGTTCAAACACATTTGCTATGATTAAAATTCAATATGGTTTCAAATAGACTCATGCATTGGTTTTTTCCACCCCCACTCCACAAATTAAAAAAAAAGATTGGCTGATGTTTTCATCACCCATTTTCTTGAAGAATTTAATTGGCTCAGATTATAAAGAAATAAGGGGCTCCCAAGCCAAGGGTTTTAAGTAGAGGTGACTTTCAAGTGACTCCTGAGAAGCTTTTTTTTGCAGCTTGGGTTCTTGTGGCTCCTGATGGCTCTCTATATTTTCCACTGTTTAGAAATGACACAGCATGCCCCAGACCCCAAGAGAGCCATTGCATTGTACTGTGTACAGAACAACTTCCTGCAGCCTCTGACCTTGCCTCTTGAGTCCAAGTCTGGAAAGGTGTCCTTCAATGTATGTTTTCTCAATAGGACAGAAGGTGTTCTGGAGAGCCCTTTTGATGAAAAGCATCTCACCTTTAATCACTGAATCACCTTAATGAATATCAGTTCAGTTTAACAGGTGGCCTTACCCTAGTTAAGGTATTATCAGTGATCTGATGTGCCTTGGTGCTGGTTGTAAGCATGTTCTGGTTCCATCTGGAAAAATTTAAAATAATCCCTGTAGTTTTAAAGGTGAGGTGTTACTTTGCTCCAATACTCATTTTTGTAATCGAACAGAACAAAATGAAAAGCTAGCTTTGTATTCGGCAGTCTTGTTTTTTTTTTTGTTTTTTGGGTTTTTTTTTTTTTTTTTTTTTTTTTTTTTTTTTTT